GGCTTGAACCTCACAATCACCACTAACAAGAATCCTATGTTACAAATGAAAACGTTTTGGACTCACAGTGACACAGTACTAGTCCATGAATCCTGGTTTTATTTCCAAGGTCAAAAATGACAAAACATTCCACTAAATAGCCACCAAGCAATAATATGCCATTTCAATCCACTTAAGTGGATATTGTTAACAGAAAATTTATACAATGTATTGACTGATAAATGTTTCCTAATTTTAAGTTGAAACTAATCACACTTGTAAATGTGAGACAACAAGGTGCAGAGCTGGATGAACACAGCAGGCCAAGCAGCATCATAGGAGCAGAAAGGCTGACGTTTTGGGCCCAAACCCTTCATCAGAAGTGTCCAGGGTTGGGTGTTTAATAGGAGAGCAAAGTACTGTGGATAATGAAAATCTGAAACATGAATTGAAAGTATTGGAAATGCTCAGCAGGCCTGGCAGCATCTGTGGAGAGGGAAATTGAGTCACTGCATCAAGTCCACAATCTGCACAGATTCTTATGGAGTTCCTCTGATTTTTTTCTGCACATATGCCACCAGATGTGTTGCACATGTCCAATGTTTACTGTCTGTTGAGCAAAAATAAATCCTCTTAAAAAGCAGTAAGACTTCCTGTGAGCCACACATCCCCCTTCAGTAAGAAGCTGTCTGAGATCTGTTTTAACACAACATAGAATCATAGAAACTAGGAGCAGGAATAGGCCATTTGGCCCATTAAGTTGCTCCAACATTCAATATGATCATGGCTGATCCTCTACCTCAATGCTATAGTTCTGCTTTCTCCCCATACCACTTGATGCCTTTAAAATCTAACCAATTATCCATCTCTTTCTTGAATATATTTAGTGATTTGGCCTTTGCAGTCTGTAACATTAAACTGAATTGTTTTTTTAAAAAGTGAAATTATGATTAAAACAAGTTGCTCTCACCAAAAATTGTCAAAGCAATAAGTTGATAGCTTTAAAAAAAATAACCATTTTTAAAAAGTGTCAAGCAGCAGAGCTCACTAATAAAACATCTTTTGCATCTTCACTTAAGAAGCAAAGCTAAGTAGAACAGACGAGACTGAAAGTTCTGATCACCAGGAAAGGAGGAGGTGACCTCAGTTGGGTTTAACTAACACTGCTGACCTTGCTGAATCTCTGGTGGAGCACACTCTGAGTTGGCCTTGGTCATACAACAATAATGCTCAGAAATGGATTGCCTTTCAACTCTGTCTTTTTTTCTCATCTCTCAGTTGAGAGGTTTTTGGGGACGGAAGAGACTTGTGTTGTGTGAGCTCACTCCCAGGATTCTCTCACGCTACCTTTGTCTTTTCCTCTCTTATGCACTCTCTCTCTCTTGCTCGCTAGCTAACTCTCTCTCTCTCTCTTACTCACTCATGCCCATACAATCACCCTCATACACTCACTCTCACTCAATCACTACCCCAGTGTCCAAGAAATTGAGATTAATATGAATGAATGAATGATTTGTTTGTCATGTCTATTGTCTATTTTACAGTGAAAAATACAATAAAATATAGTGAAAAGCTTCCACTGTTGCCATGATTCCAGTGCCATTTTTTAATATCATGAAGGAACACAAAGTGGCTGTGAAGGTAGCAAGATACCCTTGCTCTCTGCCCAATCTAACATTCTAGCTGCCTTGGGCCTTACTGTTGCTGAAGCTGTCACTTCATCTGGCCTCCCTGTTCTGCCATGTTGATATGTCCTTTAGTGAATCCATGCAGGAGGGCAGAGCACATCGCCCTGAATGCAGACTGTCGAAACAAACAGCTACAAGAACTCAGGCTCTTGCTCCAAACATTAGAAGCTTGAGCGCTCAAACATTGTCCTGGAATAGGTTGCCAACTACATTCTTGTGTGTGAGGACATTGAGACATGAGATGGCCACTTGCAACAGAGAGGGGAAGCCTATTGGTAAAGGCAAAAACTGTGAGCTTGCACCCACCTGCACACCCACCCACCCAAGGACACAAAATCCCAGTGTTTGCATCTTGTGAAATCCCTTCTCCCAAGCCTTTGTGGCACATATTTCATTACCACTCCTGACCTGTGTCCTGTTATAGAGTGGAAAATGTCTGAAGATTCAGGAGGTGAGTCACTGGTTGAAGAATAATTAACTTCTCACCTTTTGTAGTCATTATATTTATTTGGTTTATCCTGCTCAATCTGTGGACAAGTGACTCTCAGGATTTTGATCATTGGGTATTTGGTGATGGCAACACATTTGAATGTTAATGGGAGTGGTTAGACTTTCTAATGTTGGCAATGCCTGTGTGGCATGTGTGCCATTTGCTGTATCTCAGTTCCAGCCTGAATGCTGTCCAAGTATGGGCATGGATTGCTTCATTATTGAAGAACTGTGATTGGAACTGAACACTGAAATCTCTAACCCTGTGATAGAGAAGGTGTTATTGATGGAGTTGCTTGAGATGGCCTAACTTAGAATGCTGCCCTGAGAAAATCTTGCAGCATTGTGAAGGGCATGAGATGTTTGGTCTTCAAAAACTGGGCATTATGGTGGGCAGTGAGCTGTTGGCCGCAGTTGAATTATATTCAACTATAATCTAAACTCCTGGCCTGGCATACAAACACCCAACCCACCTTACTATCATCGCCATCAGGGGATCAACCTTGGTTCAATGGAAAAGGCAGGAGGGACATGTCAGAGACAGCACCAGATTTATCTGAAAGTGAAATTCCAACTGGTGAGGCCACAAATGTGACCACATGCATGCCAGACAGCAGATAGACGGAGTTAAGCAGTCCTACACCAGCAGATCAGAACTATACTCTGCAGTTCAGGCACACCTAGCTATGACTGGTAGTAGAAAATTAAATAACTAATAGTAGGAGGAGACTTCAAATATCCTCATCCTCAATAATAAGGGAGTCCAGTACCTCAAGACAAAAGATAAGGCTGTAGCATTTGCAATCAGATTCAGCCAGAAGTATCCAAGTGGATGATCAATCTTGGCCTCCTTCTGAGATCCCCAGCATCATAGATTCAGACTTCAGCCAATTTGATTCATGTGATAACAAGGCACTAGATACTGTAAAAGCCTTAGGCTTTGGTCACATTTTGGAATAGCACTGACTGAAGATTAAAACTCCAGAAATAGCCAGGCCTTTAGCTGTTCCATATGCAGCAAGACCTTGACGAAATTAATGATCAGTGGCTAGTAATATTTGTGCAAGTGGCACAAAACTGGCATCTAGTCATGCATGTCCTGTACACATATGGCAGGGCAAATCCAAAACAGCCAATTGCTGCCTTTTCAGTCTACCATTGATTGTTGGAATGGGTAATTATCAGTGCTATTAAGTGGCACTTGCAATAACCTACTCACTGATACTCAGTTTGAGTGCCACCTGGGCTGTTCAATTCTTGACATCATTACAGCCTTGATCCAAGCATGGATAAAAGAGCTGAACTCCAAAGGTGAAGTGAGACTGACTGTCCTTGACATCACAGCTGTATTTGGCTGAAAATGGTGTCAAGGAGCCCAAGATAAACTGGCATCAATGGCAATCAAAATGAAAATTCTGCACTGGTTACAGATAAACCTATTACGAAGGAAGGTGATTTGCGAGTGTTAGCGGTCAATCATTCTCAGCACCAAGACATCAACACAGGAACTCCTTAGAGTAGTGATCTAGGCCCAACCATCTTCAGCTGCTTCGTCAATGTGCTTTCCTCCATTATATTGTCAGAATTGGCGATGTCACTTGTTCTAACATGTTCAGCACCACCCATGACTCTGCAGATACTGAAGCTGTCTATTTTCCTATGCAGCAAGACCTGGACAACATTCATGATCAGTAGCTAGTAATACTTGTGCCACACAAGTGATAGGCAATGCTCATCAACAAAACAGAATATGACCAGTGCCCCCTGACATTCAGTGGTATAACCATTGCTGAATTCCCCAGCAACAACACAATAACAGGTTACCATTGAGCAACTAACCATATAAATACTATGGCTACAAGAGGAGGCCAAAGGCTAAGAATTCGTTGGAGAGTAATTCACCTTCTGGCCAATATTCTGTCTGATTGCAATCCCATCCGCAACCTTCCACATTCATTCTCTTCCTCATCAATGCATAATGGCAGCACCTATAATTGCAGCAATTCACAAAAGGTGTTTTGACAGCTCCTTCCATATCTGCTCCTTCTAACATCTTGGAAGACAAAAGCATCAAAATGTGGGAACACAACAATCTACATATACATGTTCTGTTGCAAACCACATACCATTCTGACTTGGAACTGTCTCACAATTCCTTTACTGTCACTTGAGTCTAAATCCTGGAATTTCCTTCCTCACTGGACTGTGGATTCACTTCCACCACATGGAGAGCAGCAGTTCAAGAAGGCAACTCACCACCATTACCTTCTCAAGGGCATTGCAGGATGGATGACAAATGCTGTCCCAATCAGCAATGTTCATGTCTGTTGAGAGAATAAACTAAAAACATCATAACCATCCTCCTCTTTACTAGGTTTAACTCCAATCAATGAAGAACTTGCCTCTGGATTCCCATTTACTTCAATTTTACTTGAGTTCCTTGATGCTTCATTCATTCAATTACTAATTTGCTGATTTACACTTTATGTCTGAAATTCAGCTCTTTTTGGACTGTTTTTGGACCCAAAATGTAATGAAACTTGGAAATGAATGGTCTTGGAAGAACTCAAATTGAGCATCAGTGAGCGGGTTATTGATGTGTAAATGCAGGTGATAGCACTGTTGGTGACATCTTCCATCACCTTGGTAATGGAAAGTACATTTAAGTGTAGCTGTAAAGTGGATGTACATAGGCAATAAGATGATTAAACACATTTAATTCCCTTGCTATTTAATTGGAAGAATAAATGTCATCTAATTTGACCAGTTTAACTGTACAACAGTTAAGTTGAGTGATGTGTGTTCTGAGTTTAGAGTAATTGTGTCTTTTATGTTCCTCAAAAGCTTTAAAGACAGCATAGAAAAATCATCCTATTCAGATTGGCTAATTAACAACAGCATTGCTGAGCTTGTAGCTTCAACAGGTCTCCCAGTGAACATCAGTGATGCATATCAAGATCCACGGTTCGACGCTGAAGTGAGTAATTCTTTAAACTTGATCTCAAGTAACACTACTGCACAAATGCTCATATTTTAAGAGAATGGCTTCTGATATCCTATTTTGCAGCATGTCTATTTTTGAACAAAACTTTTACAACTCACAGTGTTCTTGTGATGCTGTCAGGGTCCACTCTACATTGATGCGATCCAACCACTGTAGAATGCAAATGAAGGATCTTCCTGTATTTGGAAGAATACGTAACCTGATGGCAGTTTTGTTAGACCTACATTTTCGTGGGTGTTTTTACCTGAATATTAGGTTAGACTAAAGAGTGAAATTATTAAAGGGAAAACGTGTCATCTGTAGTCTTGTAATATAATCATCTGATGTTGTAAAAGTGGTTTGTCAGCCTAGTGCCACAGAATTAATACAAATCCACTGTGATAATTCCATGCAAATGATTTTAAAAATGGATTACTAAAATAGCTGTACTTTAGAAATATAAATAAAGAGGCCCCATTAAAATGCGTCAAAGTAAGCATTATTGTAAAGATCATAATGGGTATGATGACATTACTCACCTACTCAATGGCAAAGGCTACTCACACAATCACATTTCACCTCATATGCACAACAGTTGATAACATTCACATTCCAGGGCTTAAAAGACCATTATTGCCATTGGAATGAAGCAGCCTATTGACTTCTTCCTATTTTTTCGATGACAGGAGAATAGTTAATTTCTACAAAGTGAAATTTCTTCACCTGGAGTACTGAGCCTGTGGAATTCTCTGCCACAGAAAACAGTTGAGGCGAAAGCAAGATATAGTTCTTAAAGCTAAAGGATCAACAGGGTGAGAGAAAGCAGGAACAGGGTACTGAGTTGGATGATCAGCCATCATCATATTGAAAGGTTGAATGGCCTACTCCTGCTCCTATTTTCAATAGGTCCTGTACATATGATTTCTAGGCATTTGGTATGAGATAACTTCTATGAATCAAGTTCATCAAAATTTTAAATTATATAGCAAAAGACCACTCTGCGCTAAATTACGAAATTATGATTTGTATGCACTTCTCCCTCCTCAAAACCCAAACCTTCGTGCTCATCAAGATATGCAATGATTACACTAACAACAACTCTTTCTGTGTCCGCCTTTCTGTGATATCACCAAACAATCCAAGTTCAGATAGCACAATAAAGCTTATTTTTATTGTCCTGACAACATCTTGTAGCCTCAAGCTGAGAAGTGCACCCTCTACTGCATCAATGTGATGTTTCTCCATTTCAGACCGACCATCCTCTGGCATCTGAGTGAGAATTCCAATTAGTGCCAGTCTTGTATTATAACCACAAGCTACTGGATTGAAATTGCTAAAACTATCTTTACAAAATTTTTACAGCTCACAGGTAGGGAAGAATATCCATTAACGTAGACTGCATTTGGGAAAAAGTGCTGGAAATGCTAACAGGCCTTGCAGAGTCTGTGGACAAAGGAACAGAGCTAATGTTTCATGTTAAGAATAACCATTTTTCAACTAAGAGTCATTATCTGCCTCAAATTGTTAACTTTGCTTTTCTCTCGTCAGATGCTATCAAGTGTGCTGACTTTCTCCAGCACGTTATGTTTCTAAAACTTGATTCCATGAATGTATATGGTGTTATTGTATGATGCATTTTTCATCATGAGAATCAAACTACTTAATTTAGGTTTAGCAAATATGTGCTGCTCAGAATAGATGCTAGACCTAAATCAATTTGCATCTAATTCCAATTCCTCTTATATCAAATGTATTAATTTCAAAAGGCTATTTTCACAGTATCTAAAGGAAGGTTTTTGAGAATTGAGCCATTTTCCTTACCAGGGTTAGCGCAATACATTACAGAAAGTTTACAGTCAATTCTAACGGCCCGTAACACAAACAGAACACCTACCTCTCACTCTACCTATGTATGTGTACATAGACACATATGTAGTCTATTACAATTGATTTGCAAAGTATTTTGAATCAACCTGTTCAGACACTGGGGCAGCACAGTAGCTCAATGGTTAGCACTGCTGCCTCACAGTGCCAGGCAACTGTCAGCATTGATTTGCTGAGGGTGCTCTGGTTTCCTCCCACAGTCCAAAGATATGCAGGTTAGGTGGATTGGCCATTGCTAAATTCCCCATAATGTGCAGGCTCGGTTGATTAGCCATGGGAAATGCATGGTCATGGTGATAGGCTGAGGGGAGTGGGCCTGGTTGGGATACTCCTCAGAGGGTCAGTGTGGACTTTATGGATTGAATGGTCTGCTCTGCACTGTAGAGATTCTATGATGTCTCTGGGGCAGGTGGAACTTGAACCCAAACCTTCTGGCCTAAAAATATTTTGCCACAAGAACCATACAATTGACTTATTTTCTGCTAATTTAATTCCTCTGTGGGAATTTCGAGCTTGCAGAAAGTTCTTACAGTTCTGTTTTAAAACATTCAGGTGTAAATAAAAACAAAATTCTTTCTGACATTCAGGATGAAAGGAAAGTTACATTTACTTATTTGAACCACTCATCTACTTCCAAAGAAATTATTCATCCTGCCCATTATTTTCTCTTGGTCTCTGGTTCAGCGCGGAGAACACATGGATGATTTCCTTCCCAAATTCACTGATGTTGCTTCTGATCAGAATTAGGAGATGCATGAGAATGCACAATACTGCAAAAAAGGATTACTCAGAAATGGGAAGTAAAATCTAATAACAATATGGCACCAAACGTCTGTGCAATATAGTTCCATGGTAACCCAATGATCAGCCAAAGCAAAAATCACTTCTTATTGTCTATTACTTATCCAAAGAGGATCATAGATCTCCTTAGTGACAAATAGCTATCCTAATGTCTCATCTCAAGAAAACTCAAGTTATTTACATCAACTTTACTTGCACAATGCTTGTCATTTCAAATGTCTCCACCCATTAATTTGTTTTTCAATAGAAATACCATAAATTGAGGAAATACTAAATGCAGAAGGTTCAGATTACAGTAAATGGGACAAGGCACTTCACATTGCTCTCAATGTAAAAACATTATATTTGTCCCTCTACTCATGTCACTCCAATAAACGGGAGTAGAAATACCCACATTGAAATTAAATGAAAAATAGCCCCAAAATGGGTATTTTTAAAAGTACAATACTTTATTCATAGAGCTGTGGAAAGGTATTTAAATGTAGAAATGTTAAAAAAAAAAGACCATTATCAACTTACTTTTTCAAATGTTCTTTTCTTTAATGAAAGCACAACTCCTTCCATTTTCTGAGATAACAAGGTGTAGAGCTGGATGAACA